CGTGTTTTCTCAAACTTGGCCCATTTAAAGGGAGGGGAACTCAACCTCCAGGGCCCCCCAGGCAGCTGGGGGGGGTGGGGGAATTCTGGGAGTTGAAGTCCACTCATCTTAAATTGGCCAAGTTTGGACAACACTGATCTACACACATACAAACTCTTACAAGCATGTTCGATATTCGTTTTCAAGAAGTAACTTTAGCAATGGCATAAAAACTGCATTTGGGGAAGCCAATTTGCCACTTTTGGTACATTTTAAAGAAGTCCAGGGTTTTAGAATCTGTATCTCACACCATTAGCTGGCCAGTTGGGTTTTTCAAGATCTTTGCTGCAAATATTTGAGAAATACATCCCAAACACTCCTAGCAAAAAAGCTCCTATACAATACTTTAACCATGAGTTGTATCTTTAGTCGCCTGACACAAGAGTTGGTTGCTGCACTTATAGGTAAGCTGCTTTTCTCTATTTTCTTTTGTTTGAAGGAACACATTATACAATAAGTACAATGACAAAAGCACACATAAGCGTCAATTCCTAATTCAATTATTCAAAATTGATAATTCAAAAATAGTGTGTGCATCATGATGTCATGATGCAAGCTGTACACTTTCATACATGTGTCACGATATGCAGAAATATGTAAGGGGCAGAGTTTGCATCAAGACATCATGATATGTTTCAACGCTTGCCTTCTCTTGCCCCCTTGGAGACACCTATAAGAACACATTCTGTTTCCAAATCTTTATCTTACCTCAGCTTCTTCCAGGGCTAACTGGACTTCTGCTTTTTCTTGCTCAGTCTGTTTCTTCATTTTCTCTATCTCATGAAGGTTCTTGTTTCCTTCACTGATCTGGTCAGTTAGATCTGAAATTTCCTCTGGAAGAATTTTTTTTAATGATGAAGAAATATAAGGATCTGAAGTCCCCTCCCTTTCTTGTAAATCAATGTGTATGTGCACATCCATATGTGCACGTTTGTGTGTGTGTGTGTGTGTGTGTCCATTACCAGCTATCAAAGCTGAAAGATGTTGAATATATCATACTGCATCACTGGTTCCTACAAGGCAGAGCAAAAAGAATCTCCAGGTTCTGTCAATTAACTTTCAGGGAATGTTGAGATATTTGAATGGCTATACTGTTATTTTGATGAAAAGAGATGCTATACTATAGTTAGAGTACATAAGCTACAAGGAAATACTGAACATACAATGTTAGTATACTGCTATTTTGAAGAATATTGCATTATGAATCATAAACATGGCAAAAAATGCTATATCTCTCATTCACATGCTTGCTCCATTCACATATAAAGAGGGACGTGGGATTATTTAACCCTGGGTTGTATCAGTGCCAATAGTTATATCTTCTGTGCCATGCTTTTCTATGCTTTGGACATCCTCCCTGATCCAGTATCTGTGGACACTGTATTCCCCTTGTTTTGATAAATCAGTATCATCTACTCATAGCTTTATATTAGGTATCTGTGAGCCCTACCGTTCCTGGACCTGAATGTGTTTGGTGAATTCC